CGATAATCAAACATTGCATATTGAATTGTTTCATATTTGAATTGTTTCTTCTGTAACAGTCAGTCATGCTGCCTTGATATCTTCTTGTGATTATAATAATATAATAATATTATTAATATTATTGATTACAAAAAGTAAAATATTATCAATGAAAATCTTGTAATTACCCAGCAAGATCTGCTCCGCGTTTTGATTCCAATTAAAATATTTATTATAACCAAAATAAATATATATATCAATACAAATAAAAAAAAGTACCTCTGGTTAGTTATTAACACTTCTTCTTTAGGAGATTCAAATTTTGTCACCTTGGACTCTGTCAAAAAATAAATTGTTTTTCCAAGAAAGAAAAAAAAAAATCAATCAATTCGCGTCTGTCCTACCAAAAAAAAAACCAATAGGATAAATAATTAGTGTGTACGTGTTGATCAAATAACAAACTTCTTTAATATTAAAATTATGCCACTACAAAAACGAAAGAAAAATCAAAATACCAAAAAAATTACATCTGGAATAGCTGGGTAAGTGTTTTTAAGGATGGTAGTGGTGGTTATCGCCCACCACCTGTCGTTACTCTAGTTATATATATAATTTTATCTTTTATTTCTTTATTTTTATCATTTATATTATATTATTTAATTGTTACTTGACTTTCTTGCGGACATGATGACTTGGTGGATGATCATGATGGTGATGCACGGATCTGGTTGGGGTGCATTACACTTTATACTTCATATTTTGCGTTTTACACTTTATACTTGATATTTTGCGTTTTACACCTTTTACACTTCATATTTTGCGTTTTACACTTTACACCTTTTATAAATTATATTTTAAAAATATATTAGTTTAATATTATCCTTATTATTTTTTTGTTACACATTTCATATTATTTTATCTTATATATTTTATATATTACCTTAATTTTTTTTTTGAAAATTTCCATTTCCTTCGGGAAAACTTTTCAGCAATAGTTTATATATATCTCTTACAAACAACACTAGGACTTTCTGCAGAGACTTCTTTTTTTTTTTTGGAATTCAAAGTATTGTTCTTAAGGAGTATATGTGAAGGATCGTTGAGAATTATATAACACCACACCATGGATTTAAACTTGTATTACAACTTAGTAAAATACTTGTCAGATTTAATTTTTCCAGAATCATCTACGGATGAAGAACAAAAGAAAATAAGAAGTCAATCAAGATATTTTATAGTAAGAGAAGGTATCCTATACAAGAAGAATAGGAAGAATCCTCAAAGACCCCTTTGGGTGGTAAAATCAAATGAAGTAGAAATAATACTACACAACTTACATGCTGATTCATTAGCAGGACACTTCGGAATTGAGGCAACCTATCATAGGATTGCTGAAAGATATTACTGGAACAAATGTATAGTGATATAAGGGAGTATGTTCAAACTTGTGATGCATGTCAACGTAGGGGTGGGCCTACTAAACATGAATATCTACATCCAATTAAAGTTGAACAACCCTTTGAGAGATTAGGAATGGATATTGTTGGACCTTTGCCTGAGACTAGGAAGGGAAACAAGTATATGGTAGTGGCAACCGAATACTTGACTAAATGGCCAGAAGCTAGGGCGATTCCTGATGCAAAAGCTGCTTCGGTGGTACAATTCTTCTATGAAGACATAATTAGTCGCCATGGATCCCCTAAAATATTATTAACTGACCAAGGAACACATTTTGTTAATCAAATGTTGGATGAATTATGTAGAGTGATGGGAATAAAACACAAATTATCATCAGCATATCATCCTCAAACAAATGGTTTAGTAGAAAGATTTAATAGGACGCTTTGCAAAGCACTTGCTAAGTATGCAGCAACCTATAAAGAAGATTGGGATATATATTTACCTTTGGTATTGTTTGCTTATAGAATTATGATACATAGTACCACATGACATGAGCCATTCTATTTGACATATAGAAGAGAAGCAACTTTTCCAGTTGAATTACAAATTCTTACTTATCCTACAGAAATTGGTAGTGAAGAAGAATTATTATTAAAAAGGGTTTATGAACTCATTGGAAATTTACCAGAGAAAAGAGTGAATGCGAGAGAAAATATTTCAAGGTCACAAGAAAAACAGAAAGAGCGGTATGACAAGAAGGTTGTAGAACAAAAATTTTATATTGGAGATAAAGTTTTGTTGTACAGGAACCCTGCCAAAAAACTAGAAGAAAAATGGGAAGGACCATTTTATATTCATGATATTGGATTAAACGGAACTTACCAATTAAGGAACATAGAAGGCAAAGTTAGAAAAAGATTTGTACATGCTAACCGATTAAAGTCATACAAAGAAAGGCACATGGAAACACAAATAATTGTATAATTTTAAACAATCAACACATCAATCACCAAAAACACTATAAATACGGAATTGCAAAAATTTATTCAAGAAAATAAAAATTTATCATTTGATAAAAAAATGAATCAAACATCTACTTATTCTTATTTGACACTCGCATTAGAACAACAGATTGAAAAATTGATAGAGAGAATTCCAGAAGAAGATGAAATAACTATTACAAAATGGGGGGATTAAAAATAAATGGATAAGCACAGGCATTACGATCAACATCACCACAATGATCCTCCAGAATTGAAGAATATTTGGACGAATTTAGAGAATGGTGAGATGACAAAGTAGAACTACCAACTATTGAAGGAAGTACAGGAGCACAGGTGGGGGTAATTCTAGCAAAATTGGAGTTTCCTAAGAACAAAACTTTCAAGAATTATTATGTTCTTGGAAAACTTATAAATGAATACCCCTCAACCGTGAGAAAAAGCATTAATAGAAAATTGTCCAACCCAAATGTGGAGGATAAACTTGTCCGATTAGCAAAACGAACTGTGATCTTATTTGACATAGTCAGATTATCCTACTTATCCTTAAGAAGATTAACTCCTTGTACCCTTCAAAACTTGTCTAATGAAAAATTTGAAGAATTAATTAGTGGTGCAAGAGAAATTGTTGCAGAATGATTAGCACCACCTAATTTATTGGAAGTACTGTTGAGTAATTTTACTTTGCCTGTTTTGCAGGAGCTCAATGTTGAAGGAGGAGTGATGTTACCAGGATCAGATGATGACAATGATAATTTGGCCAAATCCTTTAATTTTGGGTCAAATTAAATTTTATTTCTATTTTTATTTTATTTTTATTTTTATTTTTATTTATTTTAATCTATTATTTATTTTTATTTTTATCTATTTTATTTTTATTATTTCTATTTTTATTTATTAATAATGTGTATAATTATTTATTATCATCTGAATTTGTGTTACATTTTGTGTAATTAATCAATCTGTAGCACGTTCATATTTATTTAACTTTATTTAGTAGAGATTAATGACGATTCTCCCAGAACAGGTGGAATCGCTCAAAACATGCGGATTCGCCCAAGTACAAAGTGAGCGAATTCATGCAATCTGAGCGAAAATGCGCAATTTGAGCAGAATCACCCAAATCAAGTGGATTTGCGCAATTTGGGCTAATATGTAAAGAACATGTATATAAAGAACTTGATTTTGACCTAATGTAAAAGTAACTTCTTACAAGTTAATTAGTTTTGACTAAGAAAACTAAATAAATAAAATAAATATTTTATTTAAACTATTATCTTCTTTAACCAAAATTATTCGCTAATA